TCTCAGAACTGGTTCGACAATCATCTATACTACAACATTTGTCTTAGGAGCCTTGAAAACTCCTAACATCAAATTGGCGCCGTTGCCAAATTCTGAGTAGGTTGAAACATTGAGATTTAGTCACTTGCTTGAGACCAAGTTATTTTTCTTTTATTTTGTTACTGATTCTTTATCTTCATCTCTCTTTGGATTTCAGGTGTATGAACTTAAGGAACAAAGGCACAACAAACCTTGTTCCAAGAGTTCCAGATATCAGAGCGTTTGAAAGGGAGATTGCAAGACAGAGAAAACAAGCAGAGCAAGAAGCTCAGCAACAGAGGTTGGATACTGACATGGACCCACCGGTTAACGTCAACAGGCAAGACCCACCAGCTCACCCTGCCCGCCCAGCTCGCCCTATTGGCACCTATGACCGCCCAAACCTTCATGGCAATAGGTTGGGAATCCGTGCGCCAGCTGTGGAAGCCAACAACTTTGAGGTCAAACCATGACTCCTCAACGTGATTGAGAACAACAAGTATCATGGGTTACCTGTAGAAGACCCATTTGATCACTTGGACAAATTTTGACAGCTACTGTGGGTTGTCAAAAACCAATGGTGTATCCGAGGATGCCTTCAAGCTGAAGTTATTCCCTTTCTCTTTAGGGGACAAGACACGTCAGTGGGAGAAGTCCCTTCCTAGTGACTCTATCTTTACTTGGGATGAGTGCAAGAAAACATTCGTGGAGAAATTCTTCTCTTCTTCAAGAACTGCCAGGCTGAGGAATGAGATATGAAGCTTTCAACAGAAGTTCTTGGAAGGATTCAGCGAAGCATGGGAAAGATTCAAGAGCTATCAAGCACAATGCCCACACCATGGTTTCTCCAAGGAAAGCTTGCTGAGTACATTCTACAGAGGTTCTCTTCCTAAGTACAGAGCAAGATTGGATATTGCTAGCAATGGGTTCTTCTTGGGAAGGTCTGAGGAAGATGCTGAGGAACTGGTTGACAACATGGTGAAGAGTGACGCAGTCTATAGTGGAGACCATGACAGAGGCAGTAGGGGTGATGATAAGCAGACAAGGAAAGAGATCAAAGCTCTGGAAGACAAAATCGACCTACTCATTGCTGAGAAAGCCACCCAAGAGCAGCTGAAATATGTTGGTCACTCCAAGCAGGAAAATCCACCTACAGTGAATGAGGTTGAGGGATTGGAAGGTCAAAAAGAGTTGTGTTTCATCAACAACAATGGTAGCTGGTACAAAAATGAGCCAACTTTCAGTACAACAGCTACCAACAGAAATCCTACCACAACAACTACCAACAGAAATCCTACCCCAACAACCAACAGAGTGGTTATCAGTCTCAGCAAAACCCCTCTCACGGTTCCTCTGCTCCTCAAGAGAGCAACACTGATGCCTTACTGAAACAAATCTTGGAATCTCAGACTAGAAGTGAGAAGCATGTTGGTTATGAGTTGAAGAACCTTCATTCCAAGATTGATGGGAGCTACAATGAACTAAACAACAAATTCTCCTACCTTGCTTCTACAGTCAAGAATTTAGAGAATCAGTTTGCTTCCATGAGCACTCACCAGAATCGCCAGCAAGGATCTCTCCCTGGAAAATCTGACCAAAATCCCAAGGAGGCCAAAGCAATCACCCTTAGGAGTGGTAAGCAGTTACCTCCTAAAAACCTCACCAAGGATGCTGAGAAACTAGGTGAGGGGGTGGCCATAAAATTCGATGATGATGTTGTTATTGTTGATGAGAAGATCAATAAAGAGATACTGGAAAAGATTACTGAAGCTAAGGGTAAAGGAAATGTTGGAGAAGAGAAGAAAACAATAAAAGATGGTGAAGTTGCTGCTCCAGCAAGTAAGAATTCTTCTGTTCCTCCCCCCTATGAACCCAAACTCCCATTCCCTGGTAGATTCAAGAAGCAGCTACTAGAGAAGTACAAGGCTCTGTTTGAAAAGCAAATGAGTGAAGCTCAGGTTGCAATGCCCATCATTGATGCTTTCATGTTGATCCCTCAATACAGCAAGTTCCTGAAAGATGCTATAGCTGCAAAGAAGAAAGAGATGGAAGGCATGATGACTCTCACCCATGAGTGCAGTGCCATCATCCAGAGGATGAATGTTCCAGAGAAGTTAGAGGATCCAGGATGCTTCACACTCCCTTGTGCTCTTGGACCTATGGTATTTGAAAAATGTCTCTGCGATTTGGGAGCTAGTGTGAGCGTGATGCCTCTGTCTGTTGCAAAGAAGCTTGGCTTCACTCTGTACAAGAAGTGTAGACTCTCTCTGGTGTTAGCTGATCATTCAGTGAAGTACCCTGTGGGCATCTTAGAGGACCTCCCTGTGAAGATTGGAAGGTATGAGATACCTACAGATTTTGTGGTGCTTGAGATGGGTGAGGAGGCTCAAGACCCTTTGATTCTTGGAAGGCCGTTCTTAGCTACAACAGGAGCTATTGTTAATGTGAAGGAAGGAAATATTGATCTCCATTTGGGTAAAGAGAACATCCTCCACTTTGACATCAAGGGGAAAATGAAGAAACCAACTGTCTTCGGGCAAGCCTTCACCATTGAAGAGAAAGGCACTCCTGTTGATGAGAACCTTGAAGAGCTACCACCTGAGGACGACGTGGGGGGAGAATCTCCCTCTACACAATCCCACTAGCAGGTATTCTATCACCTTCCATTGTATATACCAGTTTTTCTTTGCATATTAGTCTTCCTTTTTGGGTATCTCTTTCTACTTAACAACACAGAGACTGTGTGACTTAAGTTTGGGGGAGATACCAAGTGTTTAATCATGTTTTCTTTGATGATTTTGAGTCTCATGCATTGCATTTTACATACATATAGGCATAGAAAAACCAAAAAAAAATTTAAAAAATTTGAAAACCAAAAAAATCATGTAGGTTGCATCACTTGC